TCCACGTACAGCAGCCTCTCCCACCTGCAGCCAGAGAGCAGATCACCCCTCTGCGTACCGACGACAAATGATTTAGCACAGGCAGTGTGAAGGTATTTCCCTTGTACAGTCAAACCAATCTACTTCTTCTTTATTTTAACAATTTATTTGGACCGTTTATTCTTTTCTTGTTCACAATCACAGATATTTTAGTGACTTTAGTTTCTGAACTTGTCTGAGTTTATTTCATATGAGAGATTACTGCACATTCACTAACGTTACACATCTATAATGATATACTGTATTCAAACAGCAATAAATTAAGTTAAATAAACATGCTTATATAAAGTGTAGTGCAATTATAAATACCCCTTTATTAACCATAGGCTGTTAAACAAACAAATGGTAGAACGTGATGACGTCAGTGATATGCAAATTGACGTATAACGTATCCCCCTCACTACATCAGGGGGCCCCGTCAGCGATCCCTGCAGGGGGGCCTCCGCATTTTGCGCTACGCCACTGGCTAATACTTGTTTAAAAATGCTAAAAAGGGGTTTACATTTATTTACATTTATAAATATAAAACTTTTCAATATATATTAGTGTAAAACCCAAAACAAGGTGTTCCGATTTAGTCCTAAACAATAATTAAGTTTATTTTGAAAAATAAAAAAGCATTTTAAAAAGCACTTTAATCCAAAAAGATTGAACAAAAAGACATTCCTAAAATAAGTGAGCTACAATTTAGCCTTCATAAACTATTTAACAAAACATGATACTGCAGTAAAATATTTTTAATCTTTTAATAAGCATATATACAAGATACATATACAAAATAGAGACTGCATAAAAATTTAATTGTTTGTTTTGAAATTTGTGAGATGAAAGTTGTCCAATAATAAACCTGAAACACACATGGTTGTTGTCATGTCATAAACTCGTGTAATATCGGTGTCTTCATTGCAGCTCCTGCAGTCGCTCTTCAGGTGCTGCACAGGCTAAGTCAATCGTTTGATCTCGGAGAGCTGTTGTGGTACTTGATGCCACATGTGATTGTCAAGTGGCATCAGCGCAGCGTCAAGCTGGGAAAAAATTCTAACTGGCAATCCACCATGACTGATTTAAGACAAATTTTGAACGATCTGCGCAGTGCCACATGAAGTCGAACGCACCTAATGTGTGTGAATCAACAAACCGAGAGGGGTCTGGATGCAGACCTGGTGCAGTGCAATCTGGGCTGAATCCTATGCTTTTTATTGGGCTCACCTAACCCCACCCATAACCCTACCCCTCACAGCGACATCACTCGCTCCATTTGAGTGCATTGTGTCTAACATTGCATTGCTGAGTAATGCAATCTCAGCTTGCATCATAAAGGCTGCATCCAGATACTATTGCACAAACCAGCAAGCTGAGCACATAACTTTTGTAGTATGTTTTTTCTTCCTACTATAGATTTTTTTTTGCCAACACTCTACAGAATATCTTGTATTATGTTCAACGAAATTAAAGAAAATCAAAAACTTACAGTTCTCTTTACAGCATTGCACCACCTTCTACTTAATTTCTCTCTACATGGGTATGAAAAATCCTGTATTTCGTTTTGGAATATTCATGGATTTGCACAATAGCACTGCCTGCAGTATCTTCTTACTAGAGAGTTGTAAAGTTTGACATATCTAAATATATATCAAGGTGTTTCCTAGTGTTGGGTTTCAGCTGGAAGGGCATCTGCTCAAAAAAAAAATAAATAAATAAAATGTTTGGCTGAATAAGTTGGCGGTTCTGGTTCTGCTGTGGCGACCCCTGATTAATAAGGGGACTAAGCTGAAAAGCAAATGAATAAATGAATGAATGAAAAAAAAAAATATATATATATATATATATATATATATATTTATATATATATATATATATATATATATATATATATATATATATATATATATATATATATATATATATATATATATATATATATATATATATATATATATATATATATATATATATATATATATATATATATATATATATATATATATATATATATATATATATATATATATATATATATATATATATATATATGTATATATATATATATATTATATTTATTATATTGTAATATATATAAATATATATTATATTGTGGCGCAGTAGGTAGTGCTGTTGCCTCACAGCAAGAAGGTCGCTGGGTTGCTGGTTCAATCCTTGGCTCAGTTGGCGTTTCTGTGTGGAGTTTGCATGTTCTCTTAGCGTTTGCGTGGATTTCCTCCGGGTGCTCTGCTTTCCCCCACAGTCCAAAGATATGTGGTACAGGTGAATTGTCCCTAGTGTATGAGTATGTGTGAATGAGTGTTTGTGGATGTTTCCCAGAGATGGGTTGCGGCTGGAAGGGCATCCGCTGCGGTTCATTTTGCCTGGGCGACCCCAGATTAATAAAGGGACTAAGCCGACAAGAAAATGAGTGAATGTATACTGTATATATATATATATATATATATATATATATATATATATATATATATATATATATATATATATATGTGTGTGTGTGTGTGTTTGTGTGTCTGTGTGTGTGTGTGTGTGTGTGTGTGTGTGTGTGTGTGTGTGTGTGTGTGTGTGTGTGTGTGTGTGTGTATGTATGTATGTAAATGAATACAATATAAAGGCATATATCACACTCTAAAATGCCATTTGGATTAAACATAATATATGCTCCCTTCAAACTGAAAACATGGCAGAATGTGGAGTGTCTTAAGTGAAGAGACAAAAATACAAAATATGCAGCGCGGTGGGGCATGAGAACCGGGTATCGAGAGAAACACTGCCTTAAGGCAACACTTGATTACATTTTTGCTCACTGCTCCACCATGTGGTTTATACTGTAAGTGCAATTGTTTGCCAGTGTCATCAAAACTATCCTTGTATAAGCATTCCAGTGGGAAGGGCAATGCACAAGATTTTATTGACTATAATCTGATGAAAACAACGAATGCAGAAACCTGTTTGGAAACCATGCAAGTAGATACATTGCCTGTGTTACACATCATTTACTAAAATTGTTATAATTTTAAGGATGTGATGTAAAAATATTTATATTTGAATACACATTCAGACTTAAAGTAGACCGAATGTAAGCCTGTTCATACTGATTCATGTTCGGGCTTGTGTCTGATCTCTCTTTTTTTACCTGCATTGGATTTGAAACTAGCAAATTGAATAATTTTGTCTTAGCTCTTGGCAAACTCCACCCAAGCTATGAGTAAAATATGGCTTCATCCAAAAGCTTTGGCTTGAGACTTGTTGCCTCACTGTCCTATAACTCTAAAAGCAAGTGTTACTGCAAAGGCACCTTATAAAACTGCAGACAGTGTGTCTGAGTACATAATATGATTTAACCATGTACTACTAAAAAGAAAGAGATTTGGTGATATTTCAGGGGATATTTGCTTAACAAAACAATAATTTCTCACTAGAAGTGCCATTAAAAGTAGAACATGCTGACCAAAAACATTCATTTATTCACAATATATGCTTTAGGATGCCAATGTTAAATTGTTTTCACCCAGTTTTCAGAGAAATAAAATCTTATACTGTTGTGATTCGTTTTCTATAGGCTAAAAGATGGAACCATTTTGAAAGATGTAAAAAAACACACAGTGACTGCTAGAGAGTTTTAAGGGAAAACTCGGCACAGCTGGGTTAGTTCTATAGCAGGATGTTACTAATAAGCCACACACTATTGGCCAATTAAACTAACAAAATATATTTTTTCAATTTTGAGTTTAATGTTGAGATATTTTTTTTATATAAAACATTATATATATATATATATATATATATATATATATATATATATATATATATATATATATATATATATATATATATATAATATTTTTAGTAGAAACAAAATATATTTTTATTCCTAATAATCCAAATAAATGCATTGCATAATGGACAATAATGCAAATGAATGTAAATGTGTTTATCTAATAAATAAATAAACTGCGCTATGTAGAATTAAAAAAAATGAGTTAATTACTGAAAAATACTATTTTAAACAAACTGAATTTAAATGAATTGTGTGAAATCGGACTTGCATGTGGTACAACGAACTAGGGATGTCTCGATCAGGTTTTTTGTCTTCGAGCCCGAGTCATTTGATTTTGAGTATCTACGGATACCGAAACGCGATCTGATACTTCTATAATACATCAAAAATAAAGAAATAAAGAAGAGTGAAGAAACAGATCTAAGATATTCCTAATATATATATTTTTTTAATTCACCTTATTTTAACATTCAACACTCACTTCTGTGAGATAGCCTAAACAACCCAGTACTAAATAACACCAATTCTTCACTTTTGGACTTTAGTGCAACAGTAAATATAAATAAATAAATAAATAAATCTACTACAAAAACAAATAGAACCTCAACTTAAAATACCCGGCAGGCAATCCCAAGTTCACTTATCTTACAGATTGCTTTGGCAATGTTGTCGACATCAACTTTATGATGCCTCCAGAATGGATGGATGGATGGATGGATGGATATTAGAGTGCTAATCGGGAGGTAATGTCCGATTCAGATCAAGTCTGAAACCGTGTGATCGGGCTGTATCATTATTACTCCTTGCACTTTTGGCAATACTGCACAGAAACCATAGGTCCTGTGATCGTACATTTAGTGCTCATTTGTAAAAGAATCTTGTTTGTTGTTGGTAAAAAAAATGGTATGTTTAACCCCATTACTTTGTTCATTATTTATCCAAAACCAAAAACTGTTACTTTGTGCCCGCTCTTCCCTACCAATTTAGATCATGCAAAGTGTGGTTTTAATTGACAGGGGTTCCGTTTAGCTAAACATCTAGCTAAAATGAACACTTTGCTTTTTTTCTTCTTCTTCTTTTTTTATTTTGTTATTATTATTTTTTTTCTATAATTTTTTTTTAATAGGTTCATTTTGCAACTCCTGTAGAGTTGAGTTTTATCAGTTTTGAATCTATTTAGATGAACCCCTGATCTGGTGAGAACACTACTGTGTGTATATTGCACATATTTGTTGTTGATTTTAGCATCTGAGCATTTGGAGCTTTACTTCTATTAAAATTGTTGCATTCATAGTACATGGACTACCAAGGGCAGCATGTGTTTATGGTTTGTGTGTTAAAGGTTAGTTAGTCATGTGACCAGTATAGCCACATCACAAACTGTCCAACTGCTTATACGGTAAGTGGAATCAGAGAAACATGCATTCGTGTGCAATGAAGAGCAGGAGCAGCACACAGACTCATTTCTGCATTTGCCTCTAGAGACTGCATTTGATATGATACAAAATAATGGATGGTGGAATGTGGAGGTTTGTAATATGTGGTTGGCGAGGTGAGAGAGGGATTTTCTCTCTGTGACTCTTTCTCAGTGTGAGGAATGACGCCCGCAAGAGCATGTGCACTAAGCGATCGCTTGTTGGGAGTTTGCTGGTCCTTTCTGTGTTTCATATGGGACTCGGGGTGTCCTGCGTCTCCCTGGGTGTGATTGGGGTCACACAAACCCTGTGGCAGCAGAAAAGCCAACACTCCTTCTCACCTATATGGAGCGGCGCATGTGTAAGTAAGAGTAACTTCATGTTTCTTCTGCATGAGATTTGTATATTGACAGCATTAATGTGTATTATATGTATTTGATTGTATGGCTAAAAACCAACAATGTGTAAAATGCTGTTAAAATGGAGAATTCTTATTTGCTGTGCTGAATTTACAGTGTATTAAAGTGATGCTTATCATTTATATCAAACCTGAAATCAGTATTGTTATGATAATTTTTCATAAGATAAGAAGTTTGGAGAATAGATGGATGTATGGATAGTATTTTTTCAACCCTTTTTTAATTTTTGCTGTTATTACTTTTTTGTGATACAGTTATTGAAATGATTTCTTTCCGAGTTATTTAATTGCTTATAGTTTATTATTAAATTATAATATTTTACACAAACTCTGTCTTAAATTCCAAATTTTTATAATGTTATAATGTAACTTTAATCATACACACTACTCAAAATAGTTAGCAAAAAATCTATTATTACAAAGTTTTTTATATGATTATTATATTATATTATATTATATTATATTATATTATATTATATTATATTATATTATATTATATTATATCATATTATAGGACAGTAGGTTTGAAGAATGAATGGTTTAATATTATGGTATTATTGCGTTTCTCTGTGATACAGTTAATGAAATTATTTCCTTACAATTTGTTCCATTACTGTTTCTCAATTATTCAATTTTATTATTTTGGATGACCTCTGTCTTAAATCTAACATTTTTATCATGTAATTTCTGTCAAAAACTTTGTTTAAATTATTACTGTTTCTTGTTTGGTTAATCAACTATAATCATACACATTACCTAAAATAATTAGTACAAATCCTATTAATACAACATTTATATATATATTATATTATATTATATTATATTATATTATATTATATTATATTATATTATATTATATTATATTATATTATATTATACGACAGTAGGTTTGAAGAATGAATGGTTTAATATTATGCTGTTATTGCTTTTCTCTGTGATGCCATTAACGAAATTATCTCCTTACAATTTGTTCAATTACTGTTTGTAAAATATTAAGTTATATTATTTTACATGACCTCTGTCTTAAATATAATTGTTATATATATAACTAAAATCAACTATCAACTATAATCATACACATTACAATTAGTACAAAACATATTAAAAATGGTTTAAATAAACGTATTCACATTTGAAGAATTAATGGTTTAATATGTATTATATGTATTGGTTTTTAATGTGAAAGATTTAATAAAATTACTTATGTTTAACTTATTCAATTACTGTTAATCAATTATTTAGTTTTCTTATATTATTTCTGTCAAAAACATTGTTTAAGTTGTTGCTGTTTATTAATTTGGTCAATCAATGATAATCATACATATTATTTATTAAATCATTAGTACAAACTTATTCATATAATAATATTTTGTTACATGTATTAACATTTGTTCATATTATATTATATTATATTATATTATATTATATTATATTATATTATATTATATTATATTATATTATATTATATTATATTATAGAACAGTAGGTTTAAAGAACCGTTGGTTTAATATTATGGTATTGTTTTTTTTTTTTTTTTCTGTGATACAGTTGATTGAAATTATTAATTTTTAATTAATTACTTAATTACTTAATTCTTAATTACTGTTTGTCAAATATTAAATTGTATTATATTATTTCTGTCATTTATTTTGTTTAAATTAATAATGTTTATTAATTTGGTAAATCATTATAATCATATATTACTTATAAAATTATTAAAACAAACATTATGTTGATAAATTGATTAAAATCGGTTTATTACATTACATTATTTTATACTATATTATGTTATAGTATAATACTTTAATTTTGAAGAGTTGCATTTAATCTGGTTCTCTTTTTCTTTCTATTTTGAAATTTACAATTTAAATACAGTATTATTAGGGTCATTTTGACCTTTACAATGTCCAATATGCAACTCCAATTTAAAAAAAAAAAAAAGTTCTTTAATTAAGCTCCAGTAACAGATCTCTGTTTTTCAGTTTCTAGTCTGTGGACTAAGTGGGATCCTGTGTGCGAAGAAGAGAACTGGACTGACTGTAAGAGATTAAACTTAAACAAAGCCCAGTAACACAAACCCTTATCTAATCTACACGCACGTTTAGAGATAACAGTTGCTGTAAGCCACTGACATCAGCTTGTAAACATTTACAACAATCCCTGCTTTATCACAACCTGCGTGTAATTAGAAATGCTTTTATGTAGTTAGGAACTGTGAGTGATTATGGTTATCTCACATACACTGTATATCCAAACAAAGGAAGTGAATTCAATTAAATAAAGAGTTCATTTCACTCAAAAATTTTAAAGAAAATTATCGTACTTACATTAAAAAAAATATTTTTAGGGTAAACTTAAATTCTGTGTGAAAATTTACAATGTTTATTTTGCATGCTCACATCTTTATTTAAATTTGTTCGTGAGCTCGCGATCCACTACCATTTCTCATTGCTATGGCCACTGTCAGCTGTTCCTACACATGTGTGGCACGATCAAGTTTCAAAATAGTTCAGCTTTTGCCACCTTGTGGATTAATACTGAATGTGTGTCACTGTTTTACTTATGGTTAAGAATAGAGTGATATGCTGGTGTTAAACTGCATTGCTTTAATGCACTCCTGCATTGGGTTCACACATACACTCTGCACTCTGACTACTTCAAAATTGTTGATGTTGGTGGTTGATTCTCTCTGACTCATGCTGAACGCAGTCAATCAATCGCAACAGACTGGGTCATCGAACCAATCAGCGCAGATTAGCATCGCGCAAAGGAGGGGTTTGGGAACAAATGAATAGCTTAAAGAATCATATGGGAGTCGTTTGGATAATTAGGAATAAAATAAATGCATATTATAAGACAATTAAAGCATTTTTTGACCTTGCATGCATATCAGACTGTTTTTGGAGACCATAACCAAAATAAGACCCTTTTTTAATGCAAAATAGGGGCTCTTTAATTATAAAAATTGGAGTTGGGTGACATTTTGCAAGAAAATTGCATTAAACAATACATTTGATATTACAATAGAAACTCACATGTTGTATTACAAATTAAGTTTAAATTATTTTTTTTTACATAAGTTTATTTTGTCTTATCCTATTGGCAGATTTGTTTGCTTATTTTCAGGAAAAAAAAAAAAACATATTAGTTCCTAAAACAAGACAATATTTATTAACTTATTTACTAACTTAAAAGTCAGTTTTCCCATATGTTTTGAGTTATTTGATTCAACAGGTTTTGGAGTGATTGTACCTTTTCTGTTCTGCCTCATTTCACAGATGATCCTATTTTCTGCCTGTTGCATCTGTGGGCTTATCGGAGGGATTCTCAATGTCCAGTTTGTGAGGGCGATGATGAAACGGGCAAGCAGCCTGCACTCTTTTCATCTAGCCTTCCTCTGCCTGGACAGCCTGGGCATTCTGGGCTGCACCCTCTCCACCTGGCTGACATGCAGACTCGCCAGCTCTGAACAGAAAAGACTGTTTCTGGAAAGAGATTTGTCCCTGCATCATTCTGTGGAGATGGGAGAGAAGGTGAAGGCGGTGTGTGTGGCATCTCTTTAAAGACTGTGAAATCTCTTTTGTTTTTATTAAAACTGGAAAAGTGTTGATTTGGTTTGTAGAGATAAAAGTAGCAGTTATTTGTCTAGAAAGGCTTTATATCAACATTGTTTAAGCTATAGAAAAAATAAATACAGGAATATAATCAGTTAAAAGCAGGAGTGCCCAAACTCTGTCCTGGAGGGCCAGTGTTCTTCATATTTTTTTGTTCCAACCCCAAATAAACAAACCTTAACCTCAAGCCCTTACCAGGTATACTAGAAACTTCCAGGCAGGTGTGTTGAAGGAAATTGGAGCTAAACTATGCATGACGCTAGCCTTGCAGGACTGAGTTTTGGCACCACTGGTTTTGTTTGGTGCATAAATCTAAAAAAAAAATTTATATAATGTTTTGTAGCATCTATGTAGAGTGATAGTTAGAAATACAACTACTTAAATCTGACATATTATGTAAGCGATGAAGTAAATCCAGGAGATTGTTATCGCAGAATATTACAGAGCTGTCTGGCTTCTGATTGGTCAGTCACAACTTTTTAAATTATACTGAGATAACAACTGCTAAATAACGCAGACTCATCTGAAACCTTCATATCACATTGACTGTCACTGAAAATGTTTTTATGTGTAAACTTACATCCACATTCATTTGTAGTTACTGGATGAGTCTGGTTTTTTAGCAGTAGTTATCTCGAAATAACATATTTTGGAAGACATCTGTGAAATATTATATTATATTATATTATATTATATTATATTATATATTTATTCTTTTTCCTTTATGCTTAGTCTCTTTATTAATCTGGGGTTCGCCACAGCGGAATAACCCAACAACTTATCCAGCATATATTTTACGCAGCGAATGCCCTTCCAGCTGCAACCCATCACTGTGAAACATCCATACACACTTATTCCTACACATACACTATGGACAAGCTTACCCAATTCACCTATAGCACATGTTTTTGGACTTGTGGGGAGACCAGAACACCCGGAGGAAACCCACAAACACGAAGAGAACATGCAAACTCCACAAAGAAATGCCAACTGACCCAGCCGAGGCTCGAACCAGCGATCTTCTTGCTGTGAGGCGATTGTGCTAACCACTGCGCCACCATGAAGCCAATTTTATATTGAATTATTTTATATAGAAAAATGATTGGAGAATGAAGGATGGATAATATTTATATTTCTTTAAATAATTTTTCCATATATTTATGTACTTATGTTTATGTATACTTAATTTATTACGTTATCATTGCTCAGTTATTGTTTTTCAGTTATTAAATCATGCAACACATGATCTATGCTAAACATGAAATGTTATGATGTTATATTTCTTTCAAATTCTGTAAAGCTATTTTCAATAGATTCCTAATCAGTTATGACCATGTTATTTATGAAGTTTCAATTAAGGGTTTACTATATTATATTAAATTATAATATATTATTTTATTGAAGAATGGGTGGTTGGATATTACATTATTATTTTGTTACACTATTCGTCAAACATTCCAATGTATTACAATAATAGAAAAAAAACATTATTACAACTCCATTCAAAATATTATATTATTATTATTATTTTTTTTGCTATTGATGTTTAATTTGTTATGCAGGAAAATAATATTGTGACACTTTAACATACCTTTCTATTATTAATTGCTAATATTAATTGCATTGATTGTATTTATTTATTGTTATAATGAGATATTAATAAGGTTGATGACAGTTTATTTTATTTTTGTGCCATTAAAGGATTAGTTTACTCAAAATTAATGACTTACGTCAGTGATATCCAATCTGAGATTTACAAATCTCTTGGTTGTTTCAAGCTCTATGAGGGCAATGGGTGGGTGTTTCTCTTCATCACACCAAAACAAGGCAAATAAAGCATATTTATGAAAAAAAAGTACCTCACACGGCTTCACGTAGTGAATGGTCTCCTGCAGGGAATTAATGCATTTTTTGAGGAAAGGTATATACATATTTAAAACTTTATAAACAGTTTTGTTTTCCCTGGCTTGATGGGAATTTTATATTGAAGCATAATATGCTTACAGGAGCAGCTTACTGTCATAAAGCTTCACACGTTTAGATCTGCATCCAGGTCTCCTCAAAAATGGTTGTTAACCCTGTTTCAACAATCAGGAAGTGTCCAAAGCACCTCTCAGAAACGCTAATCCAGGATATTTTTTGCTCTGTTTTTATATAATAGCAAAAATATATGAAGGACAAAAACTTAACTCACAAATAACTTGCAGTGCTATGAGTTCATGATTCAACAGCGACATCCGCTGGTGAACACAAGGACAGACATTTACAGAAATCTACAGGCAGTGTTCAAATTACATAATGACAAAAAAATTTTCTTCGAATCATGGGTTGCACGTTCGGTTTGGGAAACTTCAATTAAAAAAAAACAAAAAAACAACGAAATAAATCACTTGGCGCTACAAATGATCCAAATGAGTGAAAGGTTGGCTAAATGTTTTTCCTGCTACTTTATTTTTTATCCGTTATGAAAGTAGCATTCCTTGGTATTTCAACGTGACATCAGTATTAATATCAAGCTAAAGCTTGTGGCCAGAGCTCTTTTTAGTTTGAACACTGTTTTTCTCCTCCAGATTATTTTCTCTTTGTACTTTCTATTATACAGTACTATTCATTACATTATTGCCTCGGAAAGATGTTTTGAGTTGTGTGGGTTATTCATCCTTGCTGAAGCAATCACCCTCGCTCATTGTAGGCTACCTCCTTTTTAAAAATCGTGCTTGTTTTATTTAATTAATTCATTTATTTTATCTTCGGCCTAATCCTTTTACTAATCAGGGGTAGTCGCAGCGGCATTAACCGTCAACTTATCTAGGATATTTTTTATGCAGTGAATGTCCTTCTAGCTGCAACCCATACACTCTCATTCACACACATACACTACAGAGATTTAGCATACCCAATTTAACTATGGCACATGTCTTTGTACTTGTGGGGGAAACCAGAGCACCTAGAGGAAACCCATGCCAACACAGAGAAAACATGCAAACTCCAGACAGAAATGGCAACTGACCCAGCTGAGTTGAACCAGCGACCTTCTTACTGTGAGGTGACAGCACTGTGCCACCGCGCTGCCCTGGTTTTATTGATTTATAATTACAGTTTCATATAAATTGCTCCCATAATTAAAAGCATCATGGGGCATAGAAAAAAGGTGGATCTAATGAGGTGGTTTAGACCTCGGTGCAGTAGTTGGTCACAGTTGAGGCTGAAGAAACTTTATGCCTGTCTAGTTATCACCTATACAGAAGTTGAAATAACAAAGAGTAACAAATTAAAAACACTGAGAGCTCCTTTGGTCACCTATAATAATAATCTGAACCTTACCTCATCACTGGTCTTCAATGATGCATTAAGGCTGAGTCTCCAACATGTAACCTGCAACACTGAAAACAACAAAGCAATGAAGGCAAAAAAGAAAGCACAGGCCTTCCTGTAGCGAGAAAGGAAACATCACCTCATTCTTGATCTTCAGTGATGAATTTGAGAAGGTTTGCTCTCTGAACAGATGCAATACTGAAGACTGTCATGCAGCAGAGGAAGTTCAGACAAAATAAACCTCAGAGATTACCAGTCTCTGCTTGGTTCCCACAGAGACCTCTTGCGCCCACTGTGTCAGGAGGAAACCTGTAGAATCCATGAGCGATTCATTCACAAGAATGAAGAATATGTGTCAATGAGGTCCCAATAGTTAACCCCCAGTGTAAAAAGCTTCCCAGGTTGGTAAATTGTAAATCATCCATAAGAAATGTACAGAGAAACCCTGTTACGCTCTAAATCAGCAAGAAAACAAAAGATGGGTTGGAGCTGCTGCAACAGATGACCCAAGAAGACTCTTCTTTAGGGTACACCTGTACACAACAACACCCACCAAAAATAAATAAATAAATAAATAAATAAATAAAAACAGAAGCCTTAAAACTCGTCTCTAAAGTAAGCACCTGTTTCTTCTCCACTGGGACCAGACAAGATCTAAGTGAGGCGAGACAATTCCCAAAGTCTCTTCTGTACATGGTTCGCTCACATCAAGTCCCCACTGTAGGAGCCATTTAGCGCAAACATTTAATGAGTAATGAAAAGATGTACACTGTTATGTGGAAGCTTACATATTTTGTTTATACTGAATGGTAACATGAAAAATGCAAATAATGCAGTGATGCTGATTTTGTTATCAGGTATTAAAGGTGCAGTAGGTGATCTGCCAAAATGCTAACCGCTCATTCATTCATTGTCTTGTCAGCTTAGTCCCTTTATTATTCAAGGGTCGCCACGGTGGAATGGACCGCCAACTTATCCAGCAAGTTTTTACACAGCAGATGCCCTTTTTCAGCCTTAACTATTCAATGTTTTATCATTTTAATGACTAATTCATACAAATTTGTATGGGTTTAGATTTTAAAAAGGAGGCATGGCACCAACCCTAAACCCAACCATCATTGGGGGATGAGAAAAATCGTACTAAAATGTATGAATGAGAGAGTATGAACTCATATGAATTAGCCACTACATCAAAAAGTTACGAATTAATAAATGATAGAATTGTCCCTTTTATATGTTCCGATATACCTTTTACAATAAAAATGGTGGGCTGCAATCTCAAGCAATGTTAAATTATATGTAATAAAGTCGGCCCAGCACAAGCTCACTTTTTTTTTTTTTTAATTATAGTGTGGAAACACCTTTAAATGCTTCTTCATGTCAGCCTTGCACAGTTTTGGTCTAACCCTGCTCCAACATACTTAAGCCGCAGTCACACTGGACTTTTCTCCCTATAGACTTCCATTCATACACATGCAAATGCAGCAGACCAGAAACGCAAGCTTATGCAACACAAGTTTTGCAGTTTGGTTCAAGCTAGGTGAACTCTGACCTGCAAAATTGCATTACGTAATTGCGTGAGACCAATCAAAGATCAAAACATGTCCTCAGTGTACAGAAATTTGAAATATGGAGCAATCGCTTCCATTTTTAATGTCTAATCATCTTATTTCATCCACGCTTTTCACAATGCCGTACGACAGAATTTTGCATGCTCAAACTCTAGTGTGACTGCGGCTTTACCTGTAAGTTTCAAACAAGCTCGAAGGACTCAATTAGTTTAATCAGTTGTAATTAATTAGGATTAGAGCTAAACTGTGAATTTGACACTGCTGCCCTAAATAATCTTATCAACTTCGTATAATGGGCTTCAGATGTCATAAATAAGACAACAGAGACCTTCTAAACATCAGAGCCAGCATTTGTAAAATTCACCAGTGTCTTTATCTCTATTTATGAAATATGCATGAGCCTGTGCATTCTTATACTCCACAAAACAAAGCAAAACTCAGGATCACAGCAGCTTAAAAGTGGAGGTGAGATAAGTTTCTTTTTTTTCAGATTTATCCTTAAAAAAAAAAAAAAAAAAATGTCTTCAGCTAATCTACAATAGTTGTCTCTACCATCAGTTAGAAAGCATATTATTATTCATAAATCATTTTTCATATATCAAAATGGTATATGAATTTAACCTGCACACCTTTTCATGTGTATGTTTGTTTAGCAGGTCATGTGTTTCAACCACTTTCACAAAAACAAAGTGTGGAATACAAGAAGATGCAGCTGAAGCCTAACCTGTACAGAACCACCATCAAGCCCCACAGAAAAACACTTCACACCAGTTTAGAGCAGCCTTTACCTCATGTCCTAGCTCACACAAAATATGGTTAGTCCTTTTTAACTTTCTGAGTGG